TGATGTTCTCCGGCATGGCGACCTTCGGGATGAGGGCCAGGAGAGTATCATTAATACCTGGCGGTAGGGTACCTGAAGTTATAGCATTTTTCACAATCGTATAAACGATGTCCCCTACCACTTCCCACGCCTGTTGGTAAAAAGCCGCATATAACCCGTCCGGTCTAGGCACCTTCAGAGGACTCATGTCATTGATTGCCTTTCGTACCTCGTCTATCGTCACTGCTTTATTAAAATCCTGCCAAGCACCCGCATCCACTGCTGGGAAGCATCCTCTTATAGCCCGCGTAGCCACAGTAGTCTCGTCTTCAGTAAATAAATTCACATAGAAATCTTGCACATGCTGTTTCAAAATGTCAATATCATTAATCCAGTCCCCATTGTTGTCATTCAGGCTCACAATTCTATTTCGGGCTTTTTTTACCACCGTCGCTGCGTGGTAAAACTTGGTATTCCTGTCCCCCGACACGATCCAGTTTTCCCTTGATCTCTGAAACCACATGATTTCCTCCTGATATAACACCTCTTCCAGTTCCTTTCTTAGTTTCTTCTCAAGAGCATAGAGCCCTCTGTGGTACCTCTCGGTCGTTATTCGTTGAATTCCTCCCACGCGGGCTAAGAGATTTCGCTTTTTGGTTTCGATGTTTCCAAACACCTCTTTGTTTCAAGTGCACAGATCACCTTGGACCTTTTGTAAGTTCCCGGCCAAGTCTCGCGACTCGCTCCAAGATCGTTTTACCACCTCCAGAAACGAATCATCAGTAAGCCATGTCGCTTGAAATTTAAACAGGTGTGGCGTAGTTCTGGCACCTCTTGCTCCTGTACGCATTAAAATGGGCGCATGGTCAGACGTCACCCTAGGTAGATGTTGAACCACCGCCCCCGAGAATCTTTGTCGCCATCTTATGTCGCACATGGCACGATCGAGCCTCGCCCCCTTGGTACAAGAACCTTCAGCACCTCGTACCCAGGTCAGCCTTGGACCGGAGAAGCCCATGTCAGTAAGCCCCTCCTCATTTATGCAATCAACAAAGTCCGCACTGCGTTGCGGGGTGTACGCCGTGTAATTGAGAGTCTCCTCCCGACAAGTTACAGCGTTAAAGTCCCCCATCACCAGCCACGGGTAAACAATGTTCTGGCTTGTAGCTCATACCATAAACGTCGCCGTAGAAGCTGGTCGGGGCTCGCGTACACAGTCGCGAGGTTCCACGAGGCACATCCATTCTCCTTCACCTGCAAAAGAACGAACTGAGGGTGAGTATAGTCCACCACAACCACGATCGGCTTGTTCCACATTACCCAGATTCCCCCGCTGAAACCCACAGTCTCTACGCGGACCCAGTCCTCAAACCCGAGCCTTGCGCAGATCTTATTGGCTTGCTCGCCGGAAACCTTTGGTTCGACCAAACCTACTAGGTTTGGCTTATGAGACTTTAAGAGAAGCTTTAGGACGCGCTGAAACTCCCTCCCTCCAGCGCCCTGGCAGTTCCAAAATAAACTGATCATAAAAACAACAAACAAAAGGAAAACGAAAACAAGCACGACAAAAAAACACAAAGAGCCGTGATTAATCGCTGATCTCGTCCCCGCTATGTACAGGTTCTTCGGGAACATCCTCCATCTCCATGAAAGATCCCTGTCTTCATCCATGCCGCTTAGCTCGTCAGAGTGGTGCTCCCCCATACGTTCCAGGTTGAGCACCGGGCTCTCGTGCTCAGCCTAAACAGAACTTACGGTTTCGACATGAATTTGCTCGCCACCCTTAGATCCCCTTACCACCACATGTTCATCCTTAGCCGCCGCTTTGCGTGAGCTTCCTTTCTGGCATTGTCGCACAATAGGGCCATCAGTCTTGTCCTCCACCGGCGCCACCGGTTTTCCTGGTTGATTTTTGATTTGTTTTTCGCTAACCACGACATTTGCTCGTCGCTGAGTGTTGGCTTTGCCCAAAATTTGACCACCTGAAGGGCCCTCTGCCAATTGGCTTGTCCGCTTGCGTACTAGCACTGGCCCCTGGATTTCTTCCACTGGGTCTACCTCCGGATCGTGGCCTGGTGTGGCATCTAAATTCGCCAAAGGCTAGAATCGCGATCGCCCTTGGTTCTTTTGTCCACTCTCCTTGCGCGTTCTATTATTCATCGGTCTTTTACCCTGTCGCTTATCATCTCTCGTGACGATCATCTATGTCTCAAACGGAGCTTTGTCCTCGTCCACTGCCGCCGGAGCCGTCAGCCCAACCTGCCTATCCGTTGAGTAGCCTGCTTTGGATGAACTCTCCCCCTTCTCCCCTTGCTATTGGCTAGCACCATCTTTTAGAGCGGTGGCTTTCTTTGGACATGTCTCATGGTTATGGCCATACATCCCACAGCTAAAACACACCAAGTGGAGTCCTTCATAAGCGATGAACCTTGTCCGCCCTCGCCGCTTGAACTTAGAGATCAGCGGCTTCGTGATGTCAACCTCCACGCACATCCAGGCGAACCTCCCCCGTGAAACCTGGCTAGTTGCATGATCCACCCTGATCGGCCGTTCGATCTTCCGCAGAAAAATCATATTGTAATATTCAATGGGGAGGCACGGGAAACGAACCAAAACTAACACTTTTTCCGTCTTGTCCGTCATGGGGTCGAAGTCCGGTGTCCATTCTTTCACGATCAGATAGTGATCGAGGATCATCCAAGGTTCCCTGAATTTGGCGTACTCCAGATCGTCTGCGGATCCGAACCTGACTAAGAAATAATCATTATCTATGGCTACCAAGTCCATGCTTCCCTTCGGCCTCCACAACGCCTGAAGTCGCCGTTGTAGATAAGAGAATCCCACTTGCTTGCCCCACACTTTCAGGATCAAGGCCTTCCTCCATGGATCACAGATCGCCTCTTTCTCCTTCGTGGTCAGCCTAAGTAAGATAAATATGATATATTTATAAGAAAGTTTTTTTTTTTTTTTTTTTTTTAAAGAAGAAAAAATTTAACCTAACACAAAAAGTGTATATATTTAATTGGAGAAATTGTATACTTTAATTTTCTAATCACCATGAAAAATGAATCTTACCCGCAACGAATCTGTTTTCCTTGTTTTTTTTTTTAAGATTTTTTTTTGCATGATAGTTGTAGACACTTAAATTTTGATAAATATTGATTATTTATCAATATTAGTATATTTGAATATATTTAAAATATTTTGGATAATATTGATATTATCTAATTTGTTAATTAGATAATATCAAAAGAGTTTGAACCTATCAAAACTCTTCTATCCTACAGTTATAAATAGGACCTTTCATTTCTATGTAATCACACATCCTAGGAAAACTTCATAAAAATATCAAGTTTATTCAGAGATCACAATAAAAATATGATCCTGAAAGTAAAAGCCCCTCCTCCTCCTCCATATGTTGATGCATGTTGATCCAAACCTTCATTGAAGATCAATCCATTTGAACCCGGAGGTCCTTCAAGAAGAACACGCTATATATAAAAGCCCTTCTTTGAAGATTAAGCCACTTGAAACCCGGAGGCCCTTCAATGGTAGAGTGTTCAAGGCATCCAATTGAAGAATTAGAGGATCATCCAGAGACTTGTACCCACACCCCCTTGATATTTGACTGTAACCAGAATTTTGAATATTTAATATCTATTATTCAATTTTCTTTGTTCACACATTGGCACGCCCGTGGGACAGCTCTGCCTCTCATCTCTTCATAGGCACTTTCAACCGATATGGGGGCAAACCCTGTATGAAATTTGAAACGGAGGAAGCAAAATGATACTCCTTGGCACGAGTTTAAACGGCTTCATATTCAGGCTCCTTGGCACGAGTAAAAACGGTCTCATATCTTTCAAGGCTCCTTGGCACGAGTTGAAACGGCCTTATATCTTTAAGTTGTAGTGTCAAGACTTCCTTGCACTACATACTTTCGAGTGTTATATGCTCTCAAGTGGTGTACAAGCAAGTCTCGATGGAGCATTTGTAGACACTTAAATTTTGATAAATATTGATTATTTATCAATATTAGTATATTTGAATATACTAGTAATTGTCCCGTGCGATGCACGGACTATTATTAATTTAACAAATTTACCAATTAAATTTTGACATCTTCTAAATTAGCAAAGAATGTAATGATTCTGAAAACAGAAAAACGTACTTAAGTTCTTCAACTCAGAATTAGTTCTATTAAAAATGTAAGTATAACTATACAATGTAATTTTTAATATTTTTAAAAGTTCAATTATGTTATTATTATGTTGATTTTAAAGTTTATTGTTACTTGTATTATTACTTGTCGAAAATTTCCACCAAAAACTTATTCAATTGAAAAATGTAAAAACTACGTTTAATTTATCATTATTCCAAAAAGCTGAATACCCAAACCCTAAGGGCCCCCAATCATGATGACTCTACTGAACATGAACCACAGAGGCTAAATGCTCCCACACTGCCGCTAGTGAAACTTGATCCCTGGTCATTATTCCAAAGTTTCACTTCTATGACCAGTTGAGCTACCCATGCAGGCATGTCTAATTTATCATTTTTATATATGTAGAAGTCAAACTAATTATAATTGAGGTTTAAATGAATATATACACAAATTATATTAAATGAATATATACACACTTCTCCAATCAAGACGTGTCGTCTTCATTTTGTACTAATAATATAATATAATAATATAATAATATAATAATAATAAATGAGAGGTCAACAGCTAAACATGTCGAGAAGCTTCTTCAGAAACTCTGCCTCACTATCTCTCTCGTTCATTGCTCCAGCTGAGGTTTTGAATACGGCCAAGTGGCCGGAAACCTCAAATTACCGCGGATGAACTCCATCACCGTAAAGTCAACAACTAAAAATCTCGACCTCGGCAGGTTCCGCCGCCTACCGCCAGTCCCACGGTAAATAACCTCTACCCCTCTCTCACTCGTCCATTGCTCCACCGGAGGTTTTGACTACGGCCTTTCATCGCTGAAGTTTTGACTATGGAGGGGTGGTATTCTGATTTCGCTGGCCTTTCATCGCTGAAGAATTAAGCACATGAGCTCGCATTGGCAAAACTGGGGTCAAGGAAGTCTCATTCTCTGCCATATAAATATCGATCTGTAAGTATTTTTCTATGGATTTTCAAGGGTTTTATTTGCACGCTCATCCATCTCACAACACCACACGACCAGACCACAACACCACACTGGCATGGTGACTCTTATTTTCAGACATAAATATGGTGCAGATCCACATTGTTTACAGATCACCTGTTTTTATAGGTCCTTCAGGGTCGATATGGTTATGAATTTCCACAGATCTTTGTGATCGGGACATGCATGTCTGATATATCAACAGATCTGGGAATTTAACCACGATATGGTCAGATTTCAAACAGCATAATGAACAAATCTAATGCCGTATTTGAAGTATATTCAAGATATCAGGATATATTATTATGGGTCTACATTTTAATAATTTTCGAATTTTTATTTTTAAAAATCTGGACTTAAAGTTCCAGACAACTTCTTTTTCCTCTCTTTTAAGAATTTACAGAGGTTCTGTCCTCAAACATGTTAGAACATTCAATCTAACATGTATTAGTGCAGCAAGCCGTATTAATGTCTATATGTATAATTTTTAACTAAATACAATTAAAAGGAATAAAAAGAGTACTATAATTACAGTTGGCATTTTCATGATTGGTTGATATACGGGTAAATATATATTCTTTCTCTAAATTTTAACTGTAACCACATGATAAAGAGATAGAGAAGGATTAAATAAGTGGTAACAACCATATATGCATATTTTCTAGAATTCTATTTTTTTCATAAGAAAGTTGAAGAGGATATGTAAAGCTTTAGCAGATTGTGCAGGTGTTCTCACCTTAATTTTCAAGAAACTGTGTTCTTCATGTGTTCCTCCTCGTGGATGCTTTCCAAGGTGTATCAGAAGTGCATCACAGGAGAATATGGGTGTGCATCTTCATATCAACAAAGCTTCTTCATATCAACAAAGCTTTATAGAGAGGCTGAAGATGTAGTGCTGTGTATTGAACAATGAAGATGGATTTATGTCTTGAAAATATGAAGACTGAGCAAAACGTTTCATAGTCCAAGGCAATTAATACTCTTTCCTTTCACATATACAAAGGCGTAAACAATCTGAATACTACCCTTTTTAAAATAAGGTTTGGACGGTGATTTATTACCATTGACAGAACCAATGCTTGGACGGAAAAACAAAAAAAAAAAAAAAAAAACGTTTCAACTATCATATGTATACGGCGCTGTTTTGTTGTGGGCGGGAATTTTTGCCAAAATGCATTTACTGTTTCTTATGGCTTTTTTATAATAGAGGATTTAAAATATTTTGGATAATATTGATATTATCTAATTTGTTAATTAGATAATATCAAAAGAGTTTGAACCTATCAAAACTCTTCTATCCTACCCCTATAAATAGGGCATTTCATTTCTATGTAATCACACATCCTAGGAAAACTTCATAAAAATATCAAGTTTATTCAGAGATCACAATAAAAATGTGATCCTGAAAGTAAAAGTCCCTCCTCCTCCATATGTTGATGCATGTTCATCCAAACCTACATTGAAGATCAAGCCATTTGAACCCGGAGGCCCTTCAAGAAGAACACGCTATATATAAAAGCCCTTCTTTGAAGATTAAGCCACTTGAAACCCGGAGGCTCTTCAATGGTAGAGTGTTCAAGGCATCCAATTGAAGAACCTTCTTTGAAGATTAAGCCACTTGAAATCCGGAGGCCCTTCAATGGTAGAGTGTTCAAGGCATCCAATTGAAGAATTAGAGGATCATCCAGATACTTGTACCCACACCCCCTTAATATTTGATTGTAACCAGAATTTTGAATATTTAATATATATTATTCAATTTTCTTTGTTCACAATAGTGACTCTATTACATTGTTATATCTATTCAAACATACTTTCCCCACTGATGCTTGATCTCATGACCTCCCACATGGGAGAGATCACTACATGCCATCTGAGCACAAGGTGCTTGGCAAAAAAAAAAAAAATCTTAATTGACATAAAATTTTCAAATCAAAGAGTTTACCGAACGTGAGAATAATTTTTTCACCTTTTAAATTCTTAAGAAAATTCAAATTTTCTTGGCTACCAATTCAATTAACACTCTCTTAGAACACTTTAAACTAACTTAATGTAGAACTTTTTTAAAAAAATTAAAGGGATAAAGTACAAATGAGTCACTGTACTATTTGGGAAAAAGCAATTAAGTCATCGAACTCAAATAACCCCCAAATAAGTCATTGAACCTGAAAAAAAGAGCAATTATCATTTTTAACAGGTTAACTCCAGGTTTTTGTTGACTCGATTGCCAAATGTTTATTTTATTTACATTTTTTTATTATTATAATCCACCTACATAGTAATATATTTTAAAGTAATTATAATCAAAGTAGTTTTGTTTTGTCTAGATCTAATTTATTTATTTATTATTATTTTTTAAACAAAAGATCCAGTGAAAAAAATAATAATAATAAATAAATCAAATCTCGACAAGACAAAACTATTTTGATTATAATTACTTTAAAATATAATACTATCCAAGCGGATAATATTAATAAAAATAATAATAAACGTAAATAAAATAAACATTTGGCAATCCAATCAGCAAAAACCTGGAGTTAACCTGTAAAAAATATTAATTGCTCTTTTTTTCAGGGTTCAATGGCTTATTTTCTCTTTTTTCCTGGGTTCAATGGCTTATTTGAGGATTATTTGAGTTCGATGGCTTAATTGCTGTTTTCCAAATAGTTCAGTGGCTTATTTGTACTTTATTCCAAAATTAAAAGATAAATATGGAACAAATTAAAATCAAGAAACAAAAATGAAAATGACATTATAATCGAGTGATGAATCAAAAGTGAAATAAACACAATTTTAAATATATCCCGAGAGTAAATACCTAAAATGGTCCCTCGACTATAGCTAAATTCACAAATTGGTCCTCGACTTTCAATTTCAACCAATTAAGTCCTTAATTTTGCAATTTTGACACGATTTGGTCCTCCATCTATTTGACTATTTGTTGACCGTGATCGACGATCTCCAGAAGAACCTTCAACTCTCGTCGGAGCACGTGGAGGCCTCCAGGATGACGTTGCGCCGGTTCTGAAACACGTCGTCTTCTTCGCTCTGGTACGAACTCAACTACACTGAATCCAAAGGGAGGATGAAGAAAGGCGACCGGATTTGGTAGATTACTTTCGGCAGTGGATTAAAATGTAACAGTGCGGTCTGAAAATGCAACCGGAACCTTAAAAACCCGACGATGGACCATGAAATTACATATATATCCTCAAAAATCACAGTCAACAAACGGTCAAATAGACAGAGGACCAAATTGTGTTAAAATTACAAAGTTAAGGACTTAATTGGTTAAAATTGAAAGTTGAGGACCAATTTGTGAATTTAGCTATAGTCGAGGGACCATTTTGGGTATTTACTCTATATCCCGATGTTACAATTGTGAAACTCCCAAGTTGACAATTTTAAAACCTGAGACAAACCACATGGCTGGCATGGTCAACATATATCTCCTAAGCTGAAACGAAGGGAGAAAAACACAGAAATTCCTTATAAAACAAATGCAAAGTGGAATGAATCCTTGTCTAGATACTAGGGAAGAAGGAGAGGTGGTCCATTCATATATACTTGAGAGTTTAATTTTGACCATCCAGGCCGGATAGATCATATCGGAATATACATACAAAAGGTTTGATGTTGCGACATGGCGTGGGTTGTTGGATTCATTTAATTTTCCATCGTCAAATCTGCAAGTGTCGTGGCCTGGGACAACAAATGCAGTGTCACATGAAATTTCAACCAAACCTCACTCTCTAATAACATGTCATGTTCTGCAACTATGCCTTCTGTACTATAATGTGTCCAAACTTGAATTTTAGCATGTCCGGCCTAGACAAAATGCAATCGTTATGCTGTGCATCCGGATGCACCATGCATGGTGCATACGGATGCCAAAACGACGTCGTTTTATTAAAAAACGCGTGTCTTCCCTTTAAAAAAAATTCAGGTTCGATTCCCAGCAACAACATTATATTGTTCATTCATTCTGGAATTTTAGTTCATAGATTATGGAATTATAGTTCATTGATTATGGAATTATAGTTCATCGATTATGGAATTGTAGTTCATCGATTCTGAAATTTTAGTTTATAGATTATGGAATTTTAGTTCATTCATTCTGAAATTTTTAGTTCATAGATTAGATTATGGAATTATAGTTCATCGATTATGGAACTATAGTTCATCGATTATGGAATTTTAGTTCATATGTCGTTGCTGGGAATCGAACCTGATTTTTTTTTTTTTTTTAAGGGGAGACGCACGTTTTATTAAAACGACGTCGTTTTTGCATCCGTATGCACCATGCATGGTGCATACGGATGCACAGCATAATTTGCCGACAAAATGCAATACAACTTTCTCCATCTCATTGTTAAATAAGTATATATGTAAACAAACTACTTTACTCTAACTTTAAAGTCTATTTTGTATTCATCATAAGAGTATATTCAATTATTCATAATCTATCTTAAAATAATATAAGAAAACCATTATTATATACCATACTACTATTATAATATTAGATTAGATGCCTATGTTTGTAGGAATGTCAATCTTAGCTCGAACCCGATTAATAAAACTGAAAATTTTTAGGATTAGGCTCAAAATATTTTAGCCTAATAAACACAAAACCAATCAGGTTGGTGGCCCGAACGGGCTAGCCAGCCAATAGCGCCATCCACTATATATAGAATTCAGTTCCCATGCGGTTGTGCGGTTAAATCTGAGCCATTGATCTTGCTTAAATCAACATCCAAGATTACCAAATTTTTTTTAAAAAAAATATGGGGTAGCAATTTCGTAATTTTTGCATCTAGGTCAAATTTAAGGTGCGTGGTTTTTGTGTTTAAGGTGCGTGGTTTTGTACTTAAGGTGTGTGATTTTTGTGCTTAAGGTGCGTGAGTTGTGTGCTTAAGGTGAGTAGTTGTTGAAACTTAAGGTGCATGGTTTTGTGCTTAAGGTACGTGGTTTGTGTGCTTAAGGTGAGTATAGTAGTTGTTGAAACTTAAGGTGCGTCAATGATGTGAGTCTAATTGTGCATATTTCTAGTATTAGTTTGAGTGTATTTGTTAGGCTTAAGTTCATGAATTTGGTAATTTAATTGCATAATCCCTTGTTTTATCATTAAGATATGGTTTTACACTTGATTTGAATGTTTTACGTTGTTTGTTAGTGTTTTGGAACCATTATAGGTCAAATGCAAAAGCAAAGGAAATTCTAGGACGAGTTTGTAGCCAAAACAAAGTCAAGGTGAAGCTAAGGAGGTGGCTAAAATGCTTGAAAGAGAGCCAAAGAGTGGTGCTTTCAATGGATTTGATCACAAAAACCAAACAAGGGAAAAGTGGAGCAAAAGAGCAAAGAGTTGTTATTCCTGCTGAATTCGGCGATAGCTTAGTATTTTGATCATATCTCATGCTAGGAATGTCCGATTAAGGTGATTCTTGTGCCATTGGAAATAAGACTCGAAGGGATACAATCTGGTATGCAGCGTTAAACTCAAAGCGTCGAAAATTTCCAGTGAAGTTTCATCAGTAAAAGTTCTCGCACAGATTGGCGACAGTTAGGTTTTTGAACCATATCTCATCCTAGGAATGTCCAAATGAGGTGATTACTGCGCCATTGGAAATAAGACTCGAAGGGATACAAATATTATCAAGACATCGAAGTCCAAATCAGATGGTAAAACGGTCAAAACAAGCCTGCAAATTGGACCTATGTCCTAGGCGAGAATTTAAGTTGCGGAAACTTTCTATTTTATCCCTATTGGGCTCCCACTATAAAAAAAAAACTCATCTTCCCTCAACCCTAGGGGGATTCCTATTCTC